TCCTCGGTGATGTGGAGGACATCATTCAAGTACGCTCATGTGAGATTGCATGGATTAATTCAATCATCATCAGTGACTTTGCATTGAGGAATGTTAGATTTTTTTCAAAAGTGATTTAATATGTATAAATTATTTTATACGAATATTGATTTTTTGATATATTATTGAATATTATTATCGTTTTATTTATACTAAGGCTCCAAAAAATCAGGATTTATGACTGATGCTTTGGATGGTTGCCACTTGACACCAACCCAACCGTTGTGTAACACTATATATAACTATATAAGGGAGAGCCCTCCACCACCCAGAGGCAAGGCAAGTGACATTTGAAAAATGGTATGCCATAGGATACCATGTGTAGTAGGATAGTCACTAACAAGAAATGTTAGTGGCTTATTGTCTTAATACATTGTATGATGAGATAGTGAGAGGGAAAGGGATGAGAAATGGTTGGTATTTGTGGGATGCATTAGAAAACTTAGATTACAATTTTATTTCAATATATACAAAAAATATTTCAATTCATTATCACTCTACTAACACCACAATCCTAAACTATTAATTTTTATTTTGCTTACTCGTTTATTGTTACTTTGCTAACACTACAAAATTAAACTGTTAGTTGTTACTCTGCTTATTTGTTTCTTTGTTATTTTGCTAACTCTACTGTTCTCATTTATAAACTATTAGATGGGTTATGCGTCGTATGTTGTGTTGTTTAATCAAACTTGATTTAGAGCAAAACAAGAGGAGAATGAGGTTAAGGAAGTTTCGTTGTGAGTCGTTGTGTCCCGGCGCCCGCGCGGAAAATTGAGGAGCTTGCAACGAAGTTCGACAAGCTATGGAATCAGTTCAAGGGATTCTAATCCACGATGAAGGAGACGATGGACAAGGGGAGTGTGGGGGTATTAACCCCTATACCCTTACGGCTAAGCTTGGGTTGGCCTGGATCGATAGGTTCAGTCCACCTGAAAGATGACGTGCGGCCCAGTTAACCTGATCGGAGTCCCGCACAAGGAATCAAGACGGATTTGGCGACCAAGCAGGATCCTGGTCGATTAGAATAGGAATCCTTATCCGGCCACATATGGCAATTGTAACCGACTAGGATTAGTTTCCAGATCTGTAACCCTGCCCCCCGGACTATATAAGGCGGGCAGGGGACCCCTCTAAAAATGATCTCTCATTAACATACAGCAATACAAATCAGACGCAGGACGTAGGTATTACGCCTTCTTGGCGGCCGAACCTGGATAAAACCTCGTGTCTGTCTTGCGTCACCGTCTTGTTTGGGACTTGCGCACTTGTCTGCCGATAATCTACTACCTTGGGCATACCCCTAGGTAGACTGCCGACCATATTTCGTCGACAGGGAGCGGTATGGAAGCTTAGAGAATGACTGCGGATGAGTCGTTCGGGGCTTTGCTTTAGAGGACGACCTGTATAGCAGAGTGCGTTGACACGGCGATAGCGCACATCACGTAGTTGTAGCACCGTCCGCCATCTCCTCCACCACATCCTCCGCAACCGCAGCATCTACAGAGCGCACCTCCACTGTTTCCTCCCGACCACCTTCTTGGTGGCTGGATTTGAACATGGATCTGCAAACGTCACCGCGCTCATTTGCGTTCAACATGGAGCGGCCCAACAGGCACAAGATCACCGGGTTGGTGTCTGAGCCTTCTTGTTTAGGCTCTTGGTTTAAGATACCAGCCGAAGAATGGCTGCAGTGGAGACTCAGTCACCTTTCAGCAACTTCTTTTGTGATATTCTTCTCAATTGGATTAATTGTCAACGATGGTGCTTGAACATCATCTAATCAATCGTCTTGCTTCTCATTATTTGTTGCCTGACTAGTGTCAGCAACATAAACTAAAAGTAACGCGAGAGGCTATCGGAGAGAGGGGGGAGTTGTTATTAATTAGAATTGATAGCAAAACAATCGGAATCTCCAAAGACAAACTTGAAGCAGTAGAGACAGCAGCCGCCATTAGAATAACCGCTGGACCGGCTTATCGGTTGGATCCTGGATTTGATTAGGTAGTCGCATGATCAATGTATTTTTCTTATCATAACATTTTTATCAATTATGAATTAATAGCATTTTTTTCAAGTCATATTGTCTTGTTGACTTGTGCCATTCATTCTTAGCCTTTTCAATTTGTGTCATTCATTCTTATAGACACTAAACATGTAATCACCCTCAGATACATCAAGTCCTATTGCCTTGTTGATCTATGTGAATTCTGAAGGTACCGTAATATCTAAGAGGGGGTTGAATTAGTCAACTTAAACAAGGACCTTTACAAAATCTGCTTATCAAAACTTATGTAAAATATCCATCTAGATGTGCACTACGATTTTGCTTAGTGTTTGCTATCTCTATAGTAAAAGAGTTTTGCATCTATGTTCCGATCATACCAATTAAACTAGCAAGATAGACTAGAAACGGGAAAGAACATAACCTAAAGAATACATGTAACTAAAGGGTTAGATATACACAAACTCCTGATAATGATATTTTTCTTCAGGTATCGAGAAGCTCACGCTCCCCTTAGTCCTTGCTAAAGCTCCTCGATGGGGCGGAGCTACATGCACTGCAGTGGGTGCAGCCACACCCATGCAAACAAATAAAAAAATGTGATAAATGTTAAATTTTTATTACCATATTTGCACCCACACATAAATTCTTGCACCTACAAGGCAAGCACATATCCCTCGAATTTGCTCTAGTCTGCCACATGCTTGCAGATAACCGTGATTACCAGCGCATACAATCTCATTCACTCTAACTCGATTACTCAAAACCTTAGCTGAAAATTCCCATTTTCTTCTACCTACGACACCTGTCTTGATATTTCTCATGTTTGGTTTCTTTTTTTTTTGTAATAACAAAGCTTATGCAATATGTATGTTGGAATCGTAATTTGTTATATCTTCAAGATGTAATTTCTATGATTGAGGGCACTTTGGAGAAATCAAATATTCGAACTGCTAAAAATTCTATGTACAAATCTAGGATCTAGACAGGAAGAATTTTTATTATCTAGAATTCAGAATCTGAAATCCCTATCTACTCCAGATTTCAAGAATCCCTAAGGGTCCGTTTGGATGTAGATATTAGAGACTCTGGAATTGAATTGGTACCATTACCAAATCAGGCTAGTATTGGAAATGGACTAAATACCAAATCTGTTGTTTGGATGTAGATGAATTTGCTAGCTGGAATCGAGTGACACATCAAATACCATTTCATGTTTGGATGTACACCTCCAGGAATTCACTATCTTCTTCCCCAATCCCCACAGCTCGCACGACGGCCTCGAGCGCAGAGATGGAGGCGGCCTTGGCCCCAGCCATGGGCACGCGCAGGTGGAGGCGGAGGTGGCCTCGGCTTCGAGTGCGCAGGGGGAGGCGGCCCCGGCCCCGGCTGCGACGAGCTCGGGCGTGGAGGCGGTGGTGGCCATGGCCCTGGGCCTGGGCCCGGCGGGTGTGGTGGTGTGCCGCGCCGCTGGCCATGGGGAACAGAAACGAAGCTCGCGCCGCCGGCCATGGGGAAGAAGGGAGGTGCGCCGCCGGCCATGGGGAAGAAGAAGGGGAGCTCGCGTCGGATGGGGAGGATCTCGGCCATGGAGGAGCTCGGCCCCGGTCCGGCCATGGGGAAGCTCGACCCCGGCCCGGCCATGGGGAAGAAGAAGGGGAGCTCGTGTCGGATGGGGAGGATCTCGGCCATGGAGGAGCTCGGCCCCGGCCCGGCCATGGGGGAGCTCGACCCCGCCAGCCATGGGGGAGCTCGACTCCACCGGCCATGGAGGAGCCCGCCTTCGTGACCGCTCGCTCGACCCCGGTCACGGATGCGCTCATCTCCAATTCCGCCCAATACGGAGGGTGCGGGCTCTGTATTGGGGGTGACTGGGTGCAGTTGTAGCCAATACCTCTTGGCATTGAAGGTGATTTCCAAATTTCAATACCTAAGACATCCAAACAGCGGCATTTGGTGCTATCCAATATCAATACCAATTTCATAGCTTCAATGTCTACATCAAACGCAGCTTAAGGGATTCAAAAGCACAACATGGTGTAAAGAGAGGGAAGGGGCAAACCAAAGTCAAAATCTCTGTTGCGACCAGTGTAATACAAGTTCTGTGGATCCTCACGCACAGGCTATTATGGTTTTCCGATTTTTTAACGTACACGTGCAGCGCATTCCGGGCCAGCCCACCAAGCCACCTGCGCTGGTCGCCATGCGCGACCAGTGGCGCGTTATAATAATCTTCATCGGTACGGAGACAGGAACGCATGCTAATGCAAGCCCAACCAACCGAACCAAAACTGTGCTAATTCTGCAATGGGTTTGGTCCAAATCCAGGATGCACAAATATAGTTGATCGGTGATCAACTTCAGTCTCCTTAGGTATAGAGGTGATTATAGAAGACTAGAAACAAAATTGATCAGCAAACACATACCAATATCAACATACCGTCATCATACCTTACAAAATACCATTGCAGAAGCAATTGTTATGATATGAAATACGAAACTTTAGGCATAAAAAATTACAGATGACACTATAAGTGTATATGAGCGACGAGGCTATAGTGCCATCAATCTCACAGAGGCCGGTGCATCAAAACATACTCCTTTGTTCTAAATTATAAGTCATTTTGACTTTTTTAGTTATATATCTAGACACATGTTAATATAGATATATAGCAAAATGAATATGTCAAAAAAGTCAAAGCAATTTATAATTTGGAACGGAGGGAACACAATCTTAATAGCATGCCACTTCAGAACTAACAACCACAAAGCTACAGTAGCATTACTATTTCTAAACATTCAAAGGAACAGGATGATAGGAAATGAGTGACCAAGCGACAGTAACTTCCATCTTACAAAAGCCAACATCAAGCACACCATGGCTTCTCTTGTCTTCCTTAGGCTTGAAAACCAATTCATCTTTCATAACCTTTTTTCCACATTCAGACGCCTCCCACTACTTGATGCAAACTTTTAGATTTCCCCTATTTTCAATAGAAACAACAGGCCAGGACATCTCAATCTCGCCATCACCACTGACATGAAATTTCTCAACAACAGAGTCAAGTAAGATGATTTTCTTGTGATGAGTACTTCTGAAATTTTTGTCACGACGGCCAGTTGTAAAGGCAGAAAATTGGCCACGGAAACTGTCTAGCCATGAAACATCAATGACTCGCACAAATATTGTGGCCTCCACAGATCTAACAATATGGCCAAGTGTAAATTCCAACGTGCTAAGCTTGCTAGTTTTGTAACAACAGAACAGGTTGGAATAGCCTGTCTCACCGGTTAGTAATGGCACAGCTAGAAAGCTCAAATCTTTATCCTCAGATTCAGACATTCAGTAGCGCCCTTCACTGTCAACTTAACCTACGCGCTCTTCTCGGACGGTAAAAAGGGCTCGTCTAGGCAGCCGCGAAGACGCAAGGCCATCTCCTAGGTCGCACTGCTGCGTTAATTTTGGTTGTTTTCCATTTATGTAATATTGAAACTAGAGGTTTACTGCTAGGATGATCCAAATACGGCTGTTTTAGATTAACCTCCTTCAGTGCTCGAGAGGCGCGTTATCTGTATGTTTGAACTCTTCTTCTTAATACAATGATACGTAAATCTTTTACGTATTCGAGAAAAAAAGCTGTCAGCTTAACCTCAATGGAGACATGACAACAGCACGGGTTGGACCTGACAGTACTAAATATCGATCCTGCACGCAACACCACAAATAATTAAGAGGTTAACTCGAGTGAAAGAAGAGGTACACATTGAGCATGACAATTAGGAAGGGCATAACTTGGATGGAAAATTAGATAGCTGAGTCACAGTATAGCAAGAGACAAACAGGGCAGAACTTGGGTGGAAAATTAGATAGCTGAGTCACAGTATAGCAGGAGACAAACAGAACGATGAAAGACAACTGAGAAATATTAACCTCTGCGGTGAGGGTTTGGCATCTGTCCCTTGTGCGGCTGAACATAATATTGCGATTGTTGTCAATGCAGTCACGCGCGGCAATGACACTGAACACATCAACTGGCCACTGTAGGCTCCTCTTCATTCTTGCAACTTTGACTGAAAAGACCTGTAGGGTGCCCATGGGGGAGGCACTGTAACCCGGTGCAGGCTCATCTGTGAAACGCATGGGGCCGAGCCTTGCTGCACGTAGTTGTAGGACATATCAAAATAATTAAGATCAATTCAGATAGCAGCACTAATATATATATAACATCAGTGACGCTAATTAGTATTAGCATGTGCAGGCATCACTGCTATTCTACTTTACTGGTGAAGTTGTGGTCCTGCCACATCTATGATGTATAATTTAATATATGTTATCCTAAAGAAGAAAAGATCCTACCACTTATTTTGCTATTACTGATTAAGATGAGAAAACACTTCGTAGGTAGTAGTATATTAGGTAGTAGCACTAATTCTAGATTTCTAGGAGGTATGAACTATTGGATATGCTTTAACTTAACCCTATTCGTTAATAATCCTAGTTACGGCACAGAAAGGGATGTTTGATGGGAAACTCACTGGTGTCATCGAATGAGCTGAAGTTAGCGGAATATACAGCGATCCACCGCCTGCAATACTCCCTAGCCACCCATGCTTCATAGTCTGATCTTTTCATCTCTAGATCCTCTTCTTCTGGCTCCGCTTGCTTCCTCTGAATCTCATCGTCATGCCTCAACTCGGCCCTCAACCGGTCCATCGCTGACTCGTCAGCAAGCGCTGCCTCCATCTGCCGCCGCGCGGCCTCTGCCTTGCTTTCCCCACCCATGCTAGGAAGATCCACGATCAACAGTCCCAAGACGGTGCCTGGACCATCCTCTTCCACCACCCTCAACGCGTTGCTCTTATCAGATTTTGCCAACAAGTACGTCGAGTCGTTTTCTTCCATCATAACAGTGGTGTCAAACATGCCCACTGCCAAGGTAGAGCATGGATATAATGATGGTCAATCGTCTTCTCGGCGAGTCCCTCCTGCGCCAATTCCTCCTCTTCAACAACAGAAGGCTCCTGGATTCGACCTCGCCGCCGGCACCGCCTCTGATTCTACTCCAGATACCAAACCCTATTCTTCTTCTGGCCTTTTGCGAGTCCGGGTCCGGGTGCGTTTGCGGATTTGCCGTTTGGTAGCAAATACAGAGTCCGTGCTTGAATCGCCCAAGTCGTGGGCTGGATACGCAGTTAGCCTTATACAATTGGCCCAGCCTGCTAGGGCAAAATCACGTTGGGACGCGAAGCCCGCATCGTGGGCTGCTTTGTCTTCGGCCGAGAGAGAGTACGTGGCTTTCGTTTCTGGGCTTCATTTTCTTCTTTCGGCCTCGTTTCCTCTCATGGCTCGCCGGTCGCTGCTTCGCTGGATTGTGGGCCCTCGTCGGTTTTAGAGAATCTCGAGGAAACCAGATCGACTTGGACCTTGCCTTTATAACTTGGTGAGAAAAACTGCTCAAGTTTTAATCTGCAGGTCATGATGAAAATTATCAAGAATATACAGGAGTGAACGTTCATGGCCCATAAAAGGAATCATGCGTCTCGAATCGAGAATGAAAATGGACGTGTGATCATTTTTCCTCGGGTCCTGAGGTTGGTGTGTTGTTGTTGTTTTTTCTTTTTGTTCGTTTAAAAAAAAAGGACTCGATTTGCCGTATCATACATTGGCAATAAAGCTTCTTTTACATTGACGTGCAAGATTGATGACAGGTTTAATTTAACCACCGTAGGGCAAATTGTTCATTTGTTCCAAAAGAGCAGGCAGGAAACGAAAAAACGAAGCATGCGGAGAAGGTGAGAAGTGGAATTAGGCTATGTTATTGTGTGATCTGGTGCTCGGGGGCGGCAAAATGGTGTAGTACGGCGAACGACTGTGCGTCGGGCAAAGGAAGAGCTTCCAGACCGAGAAAGGACCAGCCAGTTTGAACCTGTGAAACGTTTTACGCTCTGATCTCCACTAAAATTTCTGGATAACATTTAAAGCTTGCCAGGAAAATTAAGATAAACGAAATGTGATTCGGTAATTCTAGGTGTAGGGCGTCCGGCGGACGGACGCTCCCGATGGTGGACCTGCCGCACGCCCACGCTGCGTCGGCGGCCGCACTCTCCACCGCGCCTCCCTCTCCACCGCCCCTCCGCTCCGCCAGTGGGTATCTCCACCGCGCCAGAGCGCAGCAGCCGGTCTTCCTCCCTCTCCACCGCGCCTCTCGCACGATGCAGCCTTCTAGAGCGTGTGGACTCGCCGCGGCCTTCTCCACCGGAGCGGCGAGCTTTACACCGGTGAACTCAACACGCCGACGAGCCTCCATTCCCAAACAGCAAGGAGATATTACGCTGAAAGCGCGTGTTGCAAACGTATGTTTCAAGTGTTTCAGAGTTACGTTTGAAGTGTTTTTTATCGGTGTGCAAAAATAGATCGAGATGTTGCATATGTTTCAATGACTATACACGTATGTTTCAAGTGTATTTTCTGACTGTTTCATCTGTTTCAGACGTATGTTGTAAGTGTTTTATCTAAATGTTGCATATATATATGAATGGCTGAAAGCTTATGTTTTTAAGTGTTTTCAGTTGCTTCAAACGTATGTTTCAAGTGTTTCATCTTGATATTGCATATATTTTACAATGGCTACACGTGCTTTTCTAGTGTTTCAGACATATGTTGCAAGTGTTTCAGTTGTTTTGGATGTATATCGCAAGTGTTTCATCTTAATGTTACAAAAGTGATCTAGCGTTGCACATGTTACAATGGGACCCACCTATCGTCGTGCATGTGCGTGGAAAGCGGAGGAAGATGGCGGCAAGGGCTCGGTCGGTCCTGTCTATGCGTGCAGCAGGGTGCAGGCTATCCCCTCTATTATGAGTAGAACCAGATAACTTTTACAGGTTGGGTGCGAGTCATGAAACAAGATAATTTTACAAGTTGGGTGGGAGCTGTGTCCGAACGTCTCTTTGGACCGGACGTCCGGGCGCTAGCGTCTCCCAATATGATTAGTGCGGGACAGATTTTGATAGACAGATATCGAATTTTAGAGCACCAAAAGATTCATAAGCATAAGCACACAGCAGTACTGGAGGCAACATGGTCACAGAGGGGGGAAATCCAACAAAAAACCTCATGCACTGGATGCAATTCAAGCGTTCCAAACCAATTTCAGACCTGGCTCCATTGGTTTCCAAGTTTAACATCTCCACTAAGGTGCCTGGCTGCCTGCAGATGCGATATGCGTATGCCTTGCTCTCCCTGCTCTGGACCAGGGAAGGGGGGTCTGCATTCTGCGAGCGGGTACAGGGCAAAGTGGCCTGCGAAGCGATACATTCTGCTTGTCTGCTTGACTAGCGCTGGAGGCGGCCTTGCAGTCAGGCCCTCAAGCGGCACAACGAATGGCCTCCTCTCTAAAATGCTTGTCAATGTCAAGCTTCATGAGCTCTTCCAAGAGGACTCCGGTTGGGAAGGAGGCCATGATCTAGAACTCACATCTGCTGCACTGCACACGTACCCCAATGCGACGGTCTACTCCTTAGTAGTGGAATTTGGCAAACTGCAGGCCTACGAGCCTCTTGTTGGTTTGGAGCAACTCTCTGTGAAGCCAAGTTTGGTACAGCTTCTCTCTACAACTATGAACAGTTATTTTTGGTGAGAAAAATGAGAAAAGGTTAAGCAATACTAGATCTCTGGAAGCAGCACAATCACGTGTGAATTGTCCAAAACCAGTTTAAGAAACCCAGGAACCAAAAAAAATCAGAAACTAGGTACACAGCAATACTGGAAGCATAACAATGGCGAGAGAAAAACAATAACAAACAAGAAACCTCATGCATTGGATGCATTTCAACCGTTCCAAACCAATTTATTGATACTTAATATTACTAAAAAGTAGGGGGCATAAAAGCATAGAAAATACAGGGTCCAGAATGTAACCACAGATAATGATAGTCAGATACGGTGCGACACCCAGCAATCCCTGCACTTGTGTTTGCTATAGCAAAAGCCAGCTCAAGCCAGGTGATCGTCTTGGTAGCAATCCTTTGGTGATACACTTCTTTTTCGATTTAAGTTTCGACATACAGTGGTTCCATCTTCCAAGGCACGGAAGTTACTTGGGGCCAACATCCTTCAACGCGAGATCTGCTCCTCCCCATAGCAGACTGGACGGTCACAACAAGATCCTTCCCGCTTTCAAACCCTTCCTTAATCTGAATACAAAATGCAGAAGTGATAGTTTATTGGGCAATATAAACAAAAAAAACAATAACTAGAGGTAGATACATTAACTCAACTACAACGGATACAAGTTATGCAACCTACTACTTCCAATCAACAGCACAACAGAGTGTAGGACAGGTATAATGAAAATCTTTATTCAACAACTCATGTCAGTTTAAAAGCATGCAATTTTGGTGCACTTTCAGCAATGTTTTATGCAACATGGATGCCATGTCGGATCATATACAAGTAAAGGTAATAGTAGACAGACTAAATACACAAGGACTGTCTAATTCTACAAGGCCCTACTTTCCACAATCCTTAAGGCGTACCCGGTCAGCAGAGAGCTCCCGCTCTGTGCGGGAAGTGCAGGAAGGTGTGTCAGTGGCAAGCCTTACCCTCGCCTGTGCAATGCGAGGAGACCGCGACTCAAACCCGGGACCTTCCGGTCACAGGCCCCAGGACTTTCCACAATCCTTAAGGCACCAAATCAATTAACAACTTCAAGGAAGAGAAGCTACTGAGAAAGAACATATGACTAAGCTAACAAATATAACCACCATCTGTAATACTTGGAAGCCAACAAGAAAACTAACAGGACTTAGGATGGAAAATGTTTCCAAACAGACCTGGGCCACGAGTATCATCAGTTGGGAGTCTAAGATCATCCTTAGTGTTGCCATCTGAAGTAAGAAGGCTCACCTGAAACAAATCAAATTAAACTAAGACTGAATCTAACATTTAATTTATAGAAGAATGTAGCTTTACTGATTAGAGGAACATACAAATCCATCCTCTGATATGTCAATCAGCTGATACTCAGTACGGTTCACATGCGGAATCTAAAAAAAAATTGAACCTATGAGTGGCATATCAAGTGAATCGTCAAAAGAACTTAGCTAAACAGGCAGAAATTAACTTACGTCACAGTTGTGTGAAGAAGGAACAATATCTTCAAGCTTTTTCCGTTGAATATGTCTATGGCAACAAAGTGGCATTTAGGCGTAGCCATGCTTACCAGTCTTTGAGGTAGAAACCTCCACAACCTGTAGCATAAGTTATTTTTAGCAACCATATTCAACAAACAAACTCAATAAAACAGTAACGTGTGTGTGATGCGGCTTAAGAGCAAGGAAATTCCAAATAGTTTTAGGCACAAACATGGACTGTTGCTGCTATATCATTCAAATCCTTCAGAAGCTCAACAAAATGCAAGGGTAAATAAACAGAAGTGAGCTTACTATCACCTTATGATAATACAGTGACATAAAGGACGGTATGCTAATACCACAAAGATGATTTTCCAGGTTTAGAGTTAAGAAAGAGATACCCTGTTTGATCATCGCATAAAACAAGTGGGTACTCATTCTCTTTGACAATGGTTGCCAAACCAAAAGAAATTTCATTTTGACAACAAATTGGTTTTATCGATAAATAGGAAACATAACTTTCCAATTCCAATCCTACTCATTAAAATAAACAACAACAAAGGGTGTTCTACATCCATCGTGGGGTCAAATCAAAACCCTGTCCAAAATGTAGGGACATATGCTTTTTTTATTAATTTCAAACATCACTAAACAGCGTAGAGCCCCCTAGAAAACATCACAGAGTCAGCAACATCAAGTTTACGTCTATGCCAGACTGACAACTGAAATCTTAGATATCAGGATAATGTATTTTCCCTAAAGCACATTATCTGTTCGATCTCTTATTCCCGTTATCTTGGAATAATGGAAATCGGATAACCCTCTGATCAAACTTCAAAAGATAAATTGTTTGATCACTTGGGTGGTAGCTTACTATAGATCAAGGGGTACAAACATCCTGACCATGGTCAAGGACAAATAATGAGTACACTTGAATGTTCAATGACAAGCTTAGGGGATAACAAATAGCTCAACATGCCAACTAATTTTCCCCCTTTGTAAGGAAAAAAGAATAAAAAAGGTTACCCATTTGCTACAGATTCAGCTACTTATATGGGCAGGGTGCAATCTACTCTGACTAAATGTCGTTTTTTATCTGATCTCTTGAAAAGCAGATCAGATTTACCACAGAAAACTGTTATTCTGTGAAGCAAAGCCCAGTCCTAGTAACTCCGGCTGGCAATAGCAAAGTCTGGCATCAACCGCGACTCCCACATCTCCTTCTAACTATCAGATATATCCAGCATCCAACTCCCACGAATTACACCCCCATATAGTGGGTCAACCATCAAAAGATAACAGTAACAGCACCTATTCCCATCAAGCAATCACACTATCACAGTATGACCAGAGACGACTACAACTACATACGTCTCCATATCACCAGTTCACAGCACAACGACGCGGATCGATACTAATCGACGGCCTCAAGCCGATCCCAAATCTAAGCACGCATATACCTTGCAGGGACGGCCCTTGATGACGAGGAAGCCGTTCTTGCGGACGGTGCCAGCCTGCTGCGGGTAGGTCTTGGACGCACCAGCGTCGGCCTTTGATTCGAAGTGGTGCTCCTCCGAGTCCGACATGGCGATCCCTGCATAAAAAAAAACCCAATCCCCCAAACAAGATCCGAAAATTAGCCTCGATTTAGATTCCCCATATTTCAGGAAACAAAAGAAATCACAAATCAAAACCAGAGCAACTAAAATCGCAGCCAAATCTAAGCGGCGGCCGGTCAGAATTTCACCTGGCTTGGATGGGTCAAGCGGAGGCGGAGGACCAGGGAGGAGATGCACAGGCGGATGATAAGCGATAAGCTCGCGGCGAATCCTAGGGTTTCAGGATATTTATACTCATAACAGCAGGTGCACCCACCGCTTCCACCCGAGGGGAGACGGTGTGTCTCACTGACTGTGGGGTCTGCAAGATAATGGGCCCGCATGTCGGTGGAACGGCTTTAGGTGCAGATGTTGAGCGAATCTGAACCGTCGGTTTGGTCGGGGGGTCGGACCCGTGTACGGCTCCGAGGGTAGGGCATCTTCTCGCGTTTGAATCACGCCATGGACGGCTGAAAGCGTCTTTCCTCCTCCTTTTTCTCGCCTTTTTTTTCCCCCTTTGCTTCCTTTCCTTTTCTTTTGATTGAAACACTTTTCGTTTCCTTTTCAGCGTCTCCTTCGCTGATCAGCGATAAGAAAACAATTGTGCGATAAGGGCGTGATTGGTTGCCAGAACCGGGCCGACATTTGGGCCATCCTGCATACTTCGGTGCATTCGGCTTTGTTTGGTTGTCCTACTCGTATCTTTCCTCTGCTCCCTCCCGTGCAGATTCGCTCCTCCATCCCGAACGTCGCCGTCTTTTCGATCCCCACTTCCCTCTCGGTGCAGGCTGGCTCGGTGCTTGGCGGGAACCTTCAGCAGGCGCAGAGATGAGGCCATCCAAGACCATAAAAGCCATGGGTCTCGGCTAAGGTTACCACCCTCACTCTTCGCCTCTCCTTCCGCCATAGCTCAGGTCATGAACTCCGTCTTGCTCCCCGACGACCTCGGTAGCCCTACCGAGGCGATCCTCACCGACAGTTTCTCTCGGTCCTCCGGCGCTTGGGCCGGTATATATATGCCACCACATGTTCTTCCCTCCTCTTCTTCACTGTTGTCGATTTTTTGTTGATTTGTTGGTGAATTTTGCTTGAAATGCCAAGAAATCGGGGGTTTTCAGTTTGACATCCTCAGATCTGTATGATGCTATACCTGATTTACCTGTTCCTAGCTCAGATCTATACATGATGCTTCGTTTTTTGTTTATACCTCATGTTTTGTGTAGATCTTGTACATGTTGATGCCTATTTTGTTGTACACACTGAGCAAAGTGCATAGGTCAATGATGTTGATTGGTTAACAATATACGCCGGAGGAGCACCCTTTGGTGTGGCAGCCGCGTCTTTCATTGTTCATTTTGTCTGATTTGTTGCTTGCTAAGCAGTACATACCCATGTTGCATGCTCGCTTTCTAATGTTGCCCTCCATCCTGTTGGGGTAGACATGGCGTTTGAAGCTAGGCGAAGGGCTGCCGCTGCTATGGTTGTTGCAGTGGCGGCTTGGTTTTTCATGTGGTTTAGGAGGAGAGTTAAAGATTCGCGCTCAATCACCTATGGTCCCTTGGCTGAGAGAGACATACAGAGGATGAACAACCTTAGATACATCTATGATTCTGATGATGTGTACTGTATCAACCTTCTTAGAATGAGGAGGGTCCATTTTTCCAACTTTGTGACCTTTTCCGTAGTAGAGAGCTTGTCACTGACAGCATACATGCATCTGTTGAAGAACAAGTAGCCATGTTCTTGCATGTTGTTGGTCACAATAAGAGGTTTAGGCTGGTTGACCTTACCTTCAGGAGGTCCGCAGAGACAATTAGTAGGTTCTTTCAGAAGGTGTTATATGCGGTAGGAGAGCTGAGGAATGAATTGATTGTCCCTCCTGCTACCAATGTCCATCCTAAGATCCTTGGGAGCAGAAGGTGGTACCCCTATTTCAAGGTTGGTATCCATAACTTGTCATACATAGGTCTCATGCATTATCAGTTTAGTGTTAATGTTCATTTGCACTTATGTTTTTTCAATTAGGACTGCATATGAGCAATTGATGGTACTCATGTATTAGCTAGAGTGCATGTGAAGATGCAAGCTGCCTTTAGAGGCAGGAAGCACACCATCACACAAAATGTGTTGGCAGCTGTGGACTTTGACCTCAGATTTACCTATGTGCTTGCTGGTTGGGAGGAATCTGCACATGATGCTCTTATCTTGTCTGATGCTCTTTAAAGAGATGATGGCCTTAGAGTGCCACCAGGTATCATTCAAACCAAAAAAAACTTTGACACTTTGCTTAATCCTAAATGAAACTACTAAAACATGTTCCTATCTGCTAATTTTTAGGCAAATTCTATCTTGTCGATGTTGGCTATGTAGTGATGCCTGGATTCTTGCCACCATTTCGTGCCACAAGGTACCATTTGAGGGAGTTTGGTTCAAACCGACCTCAAAATCAAAGAGAGCTTTTTAATCTAAGACATTCGTCTCTTAGAGTAACAGTTGAGAGGGCTTTTGGGGTTTTAAAGAATAGATTCAGGATATTGGACAACAAACCTTTCCATCTATACAAGACCCAAGTTAAGCTTGTTCTAGCCTATTGTATTCTTCACAATTGGATCCTCAGGCATAGCCAGGACGTGCTTTGTTCAGATGACAGAGGCTCATAGGATCATGTGGCTTAGGACCTATCTGAGCACAACCTACTTTGCTTAGATGCATACTAGCTGGCCTCTCCACTTTTGCATGCTAACTGTCTTATGCTGTAGGAAGTATTTTGATGTGTAGCACTTACCTCAACTAATGCTACAAAGAACCATTTACCGCCTAACCAAGGCTGCACCTAGTCTGAAATAGTATAGGAGCCATGGTGATGGATGTGAGGCTTTGTTGATCTGTGTCGTGTAGACATTAACAACGGGTGATGGATTGTCACTTAGTTGATATGAGCCCTAAAATACCTTAGATTGTCAGTTGATCTGAGACATTTCAGATGCTGTTATTATTCTTGTAGGAGTTCCTTTTTGGCCAATGATGCAAACTATAGCAATCTGAGGTGGATGTGGGTATTCTTCCTGTTGTTGCTTTATTGTCTTTTTATGTTTTCTCATGTCTTTCATCAAACCGTAGGATATGTCCATTCCCAAGCAACTGCTGTAGGCATGCCTACCAGATGACTGGGATGGACGTGTCCCACGCTTCCATGGGAGTCATGAACTTGCCTTAGCAATTTGTGTTATTATTTGGCACCTGGGATGATTGCAGTTTTTGACTGAGGCTGATACAATTGTGAGATCCTTTTCATACCTATGAAGATAACAGTGCCAGTTTGAGTAATGGATTATGCATATTGTGGACCTTGGACTTGTGAGGTACTGGAGTATTATTTCTTCTATCTTCTGCTTATGATTTTCATGGCTGTAATCAAACCATGTGAGACATCCATGTCCAAGCGAACAGCTAGACAATTCTGATGATCCGATGGCTAGGCTGGATGCCTCTCATAGTTTCATTCCTGTCATGATCTTAGTTTTCTATAACCTGTTTGAGGTTTGCTGCTTCTATGTTTCTTAAGCTCTAAGTTCAAGGTCAAATAAAAAGACAATTAAATCTGAGATAAATCGATTGAACTACCCTTCATTTTGTCAACATCTTATATTTGATTTTATGTGTTTTTAAGGGGCAAATGGCTTGGTATGTTGTGTACCGTGGAAGAGTACCTGGGGTATATTCAACCTGGGCTAGATGCAATGCCCGTGTGGCTCGGTTTTAAAAACAACAGCTACCAGAGCTTCCCTAACAAAGAAGAGGCAGAAGCATCATACTTAGAGTTCATGGGCTGTGAAGATGATAAAGTTTTTGTCAATCCTCCACCAAAAGTGCTCAGCAACAAATCGGTGTTATTTGTTGTGGTACGTGGTGCGATTTTTCTGTCTTTGGTGCTCCTGTGGTTCGTTCTTGCTCGTTGCTACAACTGTCTGTGATGCTCAAAATGCCATAGCTTGGTAAGTTGCCTGTTGAGGAAAGTAGCACAGGTCTATGCTTGAGTTCGGTCGTTTATTTTGATGATGCTTGAGTTTTTCATTGCTAAGCATTGTTGTAGCCGCCTCTAATTGTTTCATATTGCTGTGATTGTTTCAAAATGGTGGAGACAATGACCTTGTGAGGAACTGTGACTTTTGGGCAACCAATCACGTCCTTGTTCATGATTTGCTGAGAGTACTATTGTCATGTTTATGTCATTAAAAGCTACAAGGTCATTGTCAATGCCAAGCTTGTTGAACTGAGGCAAAGTTATCTCTGTTTCCTTCTATTCTTCTTCATTTTGCAATAGCTGGTGGTAACCACACCAAACTCATACATGGGTACTCAGACCTGGGGCAATGCGGCCAACCAAACAAGAACTGGAATAACCAGTTCATACACCGAAACGGTGCAAACGGGGAACAAAACACGACGCTGTCATGTTCACTTAGCTGATAAGTTATGGCTGAAAGTACTGCTGACTGATTTGTTATGGGAAGAAAATACTATTCGTTGGCTGAAAAAGTACGACTTATAAGCCAAATGAACGGGGCGCTTACTCCGATGATCCGATCGGGTCGAGATTCGTTGAGAACGAACGCACTGTTCTTGGATCACAATCGTGCGGAAATATATGTTTGTAGTAAGAGCAGCTCGTGTAGTGAAACTGAAAAGTCAAACCATAATGAGAGAGAAAGAGTATGCTTGATTTAAAGTTTTAAACACACGATTCCTTACCTTCTAGTTTGGTTTGAAACATCAAACTACGCAATAAGCGGAAATAAAACACAGGCATAGGGAACAGACTATGCAATAAGTGGAAATAAAACACACGATGGGAGCAGAAGACGACGCACTGGTGAACTAACGATCTGGCCACACAAAACTCTGCGTGCTCAAGCTCAATGCAGATACGCCGCCAAGCAAAAAAAATGTTTACCAATTAAATGACGGGTCGGATCGGATTAGATTAGGATTGGAGCGGGGAAAAAATCATGACAAATTCTTTAGTCTGAGGCTAACCCAACACAATTACAGGTGGGGTCGGACTATTTCTCAAAATTTTCTACTTCGGTTTTGGTTTTTGGGGATACAAAATTCATGGTCCGAATACAACGAACTAGCGAGTCAGGTCGGGTAGAGATTTATTTTGATAAGTTGGGTCAAGCTGGGTGGCCATGATTAGGTTTATTGTTTACTCGACCTTGAACCCACCAATCAAACTCTATGCAGTATCTAGGTAGCGGCGAGAAACATCGGTTTTATATAGAGCCCACGGCTAGTGAACCGTAAAAAAAAATTGCTTTTTGAAGTCAACTCCCATACTAAACCTGTCCTAACAAAATACACAGAGAGAATGGTAAAATGAGTCAATTGTTCAATTATTTGACCATGTTATATTATGCAAGTGGTTTTTAGTCTGTGATGTAGTTAATGAGTGATGTATTTATTTTTGTGTAAGTAGCTAAAATTTAGCTAAGTCTATTAGTTGAAGCATCCAAACACCATAGCTAAAGTTTAGCCGGGAAACTTTCAACTAGCTAAAGTTTTACTTTGAAATTTGAGCTAACTAAACTTTAGTTGGGTGCATCTAAACAGGCTCTTAGCTGTGTTGAAATAGCTAAACCCAGATAAACTTTAGCTAGTCTTTTAGCTGGGCTATTTGGATGCCTAGCAGCTAAATTTAGCCAACTAAAGTTTAGCTGGTGCATCCAAACAGGCCCTAATTCAATTTTGATGATTAATGGTGATATAATTATTTAGTGATGTTACAATGATGATAATTGATTAGCTATTTATAACTCTCATGCCCCTAATGATGAAATTTATTTCAGTTTTCAAAATATATGTGTGATGGTTAAGGACGAACTAGTTCCAGGTGTTATTTGGAGGGGCCGAGACACTTAGAAATATATGTCTTTATTTTCTCCTTAAGCCTACCATTAAGAGGTATGAACATATAGCTTGACCTATGTGAATCTGGTGAGTGGATGTGATGCACACTTGTGAAACTAGAACTAATTATATAAATGAAGTCCAAGTCACTAAAAACAAAGTCAAACTCAAAAGTTGTTTGAAATGGAGGGATTTGGAGACTTTAGTAAGGCCAATAGCGCGCTAATGGATGGTCAAAGGAACTGAGATCACCTTATCTTAGCATGTGCACCGGAGTGCTCACATCGAAACTTAGGAACGGTGTATGTTTGTTGTGTAAACTAAGAGGAGATAAGAGCACTAGAGTTGTCTGGTGCGATGCTGGAGCTATCCACCGGAGCTTGAGTACAGAGAGTGTCCTTCGGGTGTTGGGAGCTCTCCGGTGGCTCACCGGATCGCTGGACCGGAGTGTCCATATAGTAACGAGTTTTAGCCTGGAGGTGGTGGGAGGCATCGGAAATGTCCAATGCAAATTTCAAAGGGCTAGTTTTGGGTGTTTGACCTATTGTTGGATCTAAGAGAGTGACTACAGGAGGTTGTTGTAATGCACAAACATATTTGCTAGTCTTATATAACTTTAATACTAAATGCTAGTTACTATGTACTCCTTTTTCAAAATTATGAGATGTTTTGGCTTCTCTAAACACATTGCTTTTACAATGTATCTAAACACAATGTATGTCTAAGTATATAGCAAAACCTCGTATCTAGCTAAAAAGCTAGAATGTCTTATATTTTGTGAGTAGAAAGCAGTATTTAAGCAATAAAGTAATGGATTACTAGCCCTTTCTTACCTCCATGGCTCCGCCACTGCTACTTAGAGTAACTAGATGTTGTTTAATGAGGCAGTAGAAGGCACCGGATTACAATCGTTATGAAAGAGTTTTGCCATGGTAGAGGCGTAGAGCTTGCTTCAAAAGCTTACAAAAAAAGAGGAAATGTCACGAATACATACATGGGCACATGGCCTTCGAAAAGCTCCGAAAATCAAACAAATAAACGAAGATACGCCTAGAATCTTAGGTGCTATTTGGATCGGTCACCAGAGCAGTAACGGCAATAGAAAGGATTGCTCCTGGTATTTGATACAGGATAATAATTAGTGCTATCTGTTTGGTTGTGTGCAGACGGTGGAGTGGAATTGGATAACGGCCAGAGGGGAGCGGTAATGATTTTGCACTAGCCTTGATTCGATCCCACTGTTACCGACTACAGCTTAGCTCAACCAAACATAAAACAACGGTAACCAATCACGTCGTGAACTGAGCCCGGACAGAACTTACAATGCCACCAGTGCACACTTAAACTTGGTAATGTAGTAAGTACCACGCTAGTGTACATGCTTTTTTCCTTTATATTCTTGATGCAAACAGTGTCCATACCTTTTGCGTGGTCTTGAAAACCATGACATATATAATGCCATAGTAACAACCACCATCATGCTAACTGTATACTCCAAATGACAACGACAACCAATCGTGTCGCTTGAACTACTTTTCAGCCATGAAACAATATTTTTCTTTTACAATATTTTAGCATAAGCATCAGCATAAGCCAAATTTCAGCATAAGCGAACATGGTGCTGATAGCCAAACTTAACATCCAACCAACCTTAATTATAGTCCTTGTATAATCGTAAAGGTGACATACAAGAAATGATCAGATGGTCCATTCTCAGGACACAGCAAACACAATTCTCCGAATTAACAGCCACACACCTGTGCGTATTAACGGCTCCTGGATGTCCTTTGAGGTAAGGGTGTAATTTCACTCTCTAAAAAAACTTTAAAAATTTACTTACACGTCTAAGGTTCTCTTTAGCATAGGTTTTATTGGTGCTTCTCACCTTCTTAACTAAAAATCCTGTCAAATATGTACAAGCCCAAATGGCATACGAAGCCAAAACTAACAACAAAGTTGTTTTTACCTAGAAACCGAAGTCAAAAAAACGTGGTTCGTCATAACTTTACTATTTTCTAATAAAGAACGCAAAGCCTAAAGCCTAAACCTCACCCTCACCGGTTGAGGACTCGTTCGGCAACAGCCAGATCAGTTTTGGATTCTGACCAAAGTACTCCAATTTTTAAAACAGATGGCGTTCCACCCGGAAGAGACCCCGGAACGGCTCGTTCCGGACTAAGGCAGTTCCAAAAAATTTTACCCCAAAGTGTAATATCGAATCTTGCGGTATATGTATGGAGTACTAAATATAGATAAAAAAAAACTAATTGCACAGTTAAGTGAGAAATCGCGAGACGAAACTTTCGAACATAATTAGTTCATAATTAGACACTAATTACCAAATACAAACGAAAATCTTCTGATAGGCCAAACAAAATCTTAAGCCAATTAAACGCGCCCTAAACGAACGACGCCTTAACGAGCATGCTTCCCGTCCACAGAACTCTGCTCAGTCAAGAACAAGGACTGCTGACCTGAAACTTCTCTAGTACGGCGTGTTCATTTTGGTCGTTTTTTTGGGTGATTTAAAGCGGGTGGTCTTTGGTTTATTGTGAGAAGAAAACATTGTTGGTATATTTGGTGGTTTGGTTTGGTAATAAACCAACAAACGAACATGGCGATGAGTTTGGTCTCGGATCCACCGTGCTGTTGTGCCAACATCTGTTTCACGAATGATGCAGTTTATTACCTCTGTTTCACGAATGATGCAGTTATCTTTACTCCTAAGGAGGTGGTAGGTTACATTTTTAGTCCCTGTCGCATCGAATGTTTGACACTAATTTAGAGTATTAAATATATTCTAATTATAAAACTAATTGCACAAATTGAGACTAATTTGCGAGACGAATCTATTAAACCTAATTAGTGCATGATTTGACAATGCGATGCTACAGTAATATGCACTAATGATGGATTAATTAGGCTTAATAGATTAAGTCTCGTAAATTAGTCTCCATCTGTAATTAGTTTTTTATAATTAACTCATGTTTAATCATCCTAATTAACATCCGAACGTCCAATGTGACAGGGACTAAACTTTAGTTTCTGGAACCAAACACCCCATAATTCGAAAAACGAGAAAATGGGAATTTTGCCATCATCAAACTTGGCCTTCGCTCGTTTGCCATTATGCAAAAGGGATTCGTCGGATTGACATTATTAAACCGGGTGCACACACTGAAATGCCATTTACCGATTTCTCTTTAATTTTATCATTATTTTATTCCAACCAAACTTTAATTCCTGTTTTACCCCTGCCCCTAAACTCAAAACCTTATCTCTTTCATCCTGTTCATCTTCCTCACACGCACACACACCAGCAGGCCGTTGTCGCCCCAATGCACACTGTGCCACCCCGACACCAGCACGCGCGGCGCTACTCCTAGCCATCCCACTGCCGCTGCCCTTCCCTAGGCCGCCGCCCGCCCCACCCGCACTGCCACCACCCCGCTGCCGCGGCCGTCCAATGCTGCGTCGCCGCCGGCTGACGCCGGCTCGCCGTCTCCGGGTAGGCACACGCCATCGTCCATGACTGAGTAGACGTCCGCCCCCAGCTCGAGCCGTCCCATCACGGATCTCCACTGCACGACATCGCCGACCTCCACCTGAGCACATCAAGCGCAATCGGGGCGATGCTCTTTCGCGGCGTCGGCGTGCGGCCGCCCGTGCAAGAGCAGCGGTGGCGGGCTAGCGTGCGTGTGGTGCTGCGGTAGGCTCGCGTTGGGGTGGTGCGGTGGCTGGTCCTCGTGAGAATGAGATTGGTGCGGCTGCTGGGCGGCATGCGTGCGTGTGTGAGGAGAGAGGAGCAGAGGGAGATGTGCGTGCGAATTGTGAGGAAGAAGAAACGATGGATGAGGTATTTGGGACAGGGGTAAAACAGGAATAAAAGTTTGGTTGAAATAAAAAAATAATTAAATTAGAGAGAAATAAAAAGAATGGCATTCCAAGCTAGTATACCCGGTTTCCTAATAGCATCCTAGCGAATCCTGTTGGTACGATGACAACAAGCGAAGCCCAAATCTGATGGCATAATTGCCATTTTCTCAAAAACATTAGGCAAGTACGACTAGCACATAGCAAATGCCGCCCAAGTGCTGGTGTTAGTTGCTACGTAGTATTTAGCTCCGCCCACGGCCGCCGCTGGAGGGCAGACGATACGAGTGGGCGAGTGGCACCACTTTCACGAACCACTCCGCGAGTAGGAGTAGCCGGGCGGCCCCACCGCTCAGCGACCCGTCCCCAAGCCACCGCCGCCCCCGCCCGCCATGGCGCCGCCGGAGCCGGAGGTGTTCGACGTCGTCATCTTCGGGGCCTCGGGCTTCACCGGCAAGTACGTCATCCGCGAGGCCCTCAAGTTCCTCAACTCCTCCTCCACCTCCCCCGCTCCGCTCCCTCGCGGTCGCCGGCCGCAGCCGGGACCGCGTCGCGGCCGCGCTGCGCTGGGCTGCGGCCCCGGCGCCGCCGCCCGAGGACGTGCCCATCCTCGCCGCCGACACCTCCGACCCGGCCTCCCTCGCGGCGCTCGCCGCCCGCGCCCGCGTCGTGCTCTCCTGCGCGGGGCCCTTCCGCCTCCACGGCCACGCCGTGGCGGCGGCCTGCGCGGCCGCGGGCGCCGACTGCCTCGACATCTCCGGGGAGCCCGAGTTCATGGAGCGCGTCGAGGCCGAGCTCCACGAGCCCGCCGCCAGGACCGGCTCGCTCATTGTCTCCGCCTGCGGGTTCGACTCCGTCCCCGCCGAGCTCGGCTTCCTGTTCCACTCCAGGCAGTGGGAACCACCGTCCGCGCTGGTCTCCGTGGAGGCGTACGTGTACCTGCAGTCGACCAAGAGGATCGTCGGGAACATCGGCACCTACGAGTCGGCCGTGCTCGGGGTGGCCAACGCCGCCCAGCTGCAGGCGCTGCGCCGGTCCAGGCCCAGGCGACCCAGGCCCAATGTGAGTTGATTGATATCCACTCTTTGCTGCTTCTCAATTGATTTCAAGTGCTTGTTCGATTACATGTTTCTTACTCCTTACAAGACAAACCAAAAGAATAGAGTGCTGCACTAGAACAATATTCACATCGGCTTATAATTTGTAGGTCTTAAAATCCTCAAGGATGTATTGGAACAACCACTTGAGTTAGAACTTAGAAGGAACATCCATCTGTAGTTTGGCATGATGGGCACACTGACTACTGATTGCAATAGTTGCCCGGGCCAGATCTCAACCTCATGTCTGCTCTGTACACTATAGGCTACTATACTAGAATTTGCTACTGCTATTTGATTTGTGCTAAAATTGGTTGTGTTTTGCTGAAGCCATGTTGACATAGACACATATATGCTTCCTGAAATTCAAATTAGCTTAGCTTGAATATATGTATTCCCAAATCTCCAAGTGTGCCAAGGTGTTATGATGGAATTGAATTGAATGGTGAAAGTTGTTCTGCTAGTAAACTTTCAATCCTTCTGACAAATCTGGAAATTAGCTCTCATACCCCCTGGATTTTCTTAGTCATTATAGAAATTATATGTGGCCATGTGGATAGACTGCTGGTATATGAACTCATAGCTCCTTTTTTCCCTTTTTTTTTTCTGTGAAACTCTTTTATGAATTTCCTTCCCCATACTATCACCTTCATGCCGATATGTTAATTATTTGATCCTATTAGGCTGTTACTATTCGGTCAATCATTCGCTTCTTGTGTGCCAACTGCCAACTGCTAAATAGTCCTGGGGTGCCTTCAGAACAGCCTCCATACTTTCACATGCAAATGATGATTACCATGCCTTTTGTGTGTGCATGGAGTGGATTTTGATACTACTACTACACAGGAATTGTTATCTTATTTTGTCAAAATTCATCAAATTCTTTTGCAACTTCTTTTTGGTAAATGAAAGGCTTGGAGTTTGCATTTTGATGTCCTTAAATCACAGTGGTTGTATGCTTTTCATCTTTAATATGCTGTTGATATGCCTTTGTGGCATGTTATATTTTTTTAAGATAGTTTTCTTGAATCGGGAATGTCAAGATCCATATACGTCAATATCTGTAATTTTGCATTGAACTGGATTCACCCTTTTGTTGTCCATGATTAAGATTCTTAAGAAGCATAGAGCATAGTAGCAGTGCTTTAAAAGTATTTAGTTATTCCAATAAATGAAGATTTCATTTGTGTTAATTTTAAGATTCTTAACACAAATGAATGTTAATTTTAAGATGCCACTTGATGTGAAAAACATTAATTTGTGTTAACTTTTACTGAGCACATGTGAAAATAATTTAGTTATTCCAACAAAATTTGGAGACATTTTATATGAGCAGATGAAGGGCTTCATTTGAGTTGAAGAATCATCTACTAGTTTGTGCTGATGGTTGATGCCATTGATAGTTGTCAAACGCTACCACTTGCCACTATTCTAGTGAACCAGTTCAATTTCTTAATCCTACAAACACTGAACTTGGCCTTGAGCCTCATGACCATGGTTTGTTGTCCTCAACTGTATGACAATGTTCCTTGATCAATGACCACCATGTGCGTATACTGTATAAGTTCAGAGGAAATGTGAAAGCTATTAACGGTGTGTTTTATAATATTTTTAGTAGCTCCAGACTTCATATATAAAACAAAAGGAAGAGTGAAACATTGCTTGATTAAGTAAAAGCAGATTAGATGAATTTGGTGATGCCATGATTTGGATTTTAAATAAGAGCTTTGCTACAGTGATTGCTAAGTACCAGAGGTACTTTTAGGTACTTTCCCCTCTGATTTTTGCTGGCCATTGATCAGACAAGTACATTTTAAAATTTGAATTATGAAAGTTTTTTTTATTTGTCCTCCGCGTCCCCTGCTCTGTTACGCTCTTCCTGTTGTTCTGAGACCCCTGGATCCGCACCCAACTCCGTATCCCCTGCCGGAGTTGGTCCAGTTCTGATCTCTCAATGCGCACAATTGCTGATCAGATAGTTTCTCAACTGTTTTTACCAAAAGTTTGCCCCCTCAGAACATGTGCCATTCTTTATTTGTTTTTGCCTAGCTCCTGCCACACCACTAAAACTTAGCAGTTTATCTCCCTTAATGCTTCGATATTTCCTAGTGCCTGTAAGTGACCGACAAATTGAGTCATAAGTCGTAACTTGTAAGGGTGACCATGTGTCTGGTGAGGTGGTGACCGGTGACTGATTTCAGGTGCGTGACCATGTGTCCATTCCCGATTTGGCCGATTTGGCAAAGCAAGTACTATTGTGTATTGCTTCCGGTTCTCATCGAGGTACACAAACTAGGTGATAAATAATTACTAGTGCTTGTTTCTGCCTCACTGATTGATCGAGTACTATATCCTGGGTGAATCAGTGTCGACTTGCAGTTTAACAAACAACAACCAAGAATCAAAACTAGCAAATCATAAATTAGTGGTTCTAATGTAATGCTGCTAGATGGATCAAACTGATTTTTCCCCATAAAATAACCATTTAGCTCAATTCTTAAATCGATCAACTTAAACTTACACAAAGAACTCAATGTAACAGCTAACTATGTGAACTCAAATTAACCCATACAACTAATTTTCTCTGGTCTAAACTGTAAAGTGCAATTACCAATTTACCATTTATTTAAATAAAAAAGGAAATAATATGGGTACTGGTCTCACTCTTTTTTGTACTGTCCCTACTTGAGTATTTTTCCCTAAGTGCCTCTATTTTCTTACTGTAGATCAGACATGATTGCTATTATATTAATTTCTTGATTAAAATTTTAGTTTAATAGATTTTGTGCTATGTGCAACCTTGACTGTTTAATTTTTGCAGTATAATTCACACATCTATTTAAGACTTTGGTCCCTATATTAGATTGCAGAGACGCGATCTGTTTGTGAAATGAGCATGGCTGCTTTGCTAGATAACCATGTGAGTAGTTTTCTGGTATAAATGTTGATTAATGCTAAGATTTCTTCCTTTATGCAGATTCCAGGCCCTCCGCCTCCTAAAGGCTCACTGATTGAGGGTCAGAATCCTCTGGGAATGTGGGCTATGAAGTTGCCTTCCGCTGACACAGTGGTCCTGAAGAGAACTCTATCAACCTTGACTGAGCATCCTGAGGGCCTTCCTGGTGCAGAAGAAACCCCAGAGTACGCTGAACACAGGAAGAAGTTCTGGTCTTCTGTCAAACCTGCCCATTTCGGAGTGAAGATCGCCTCCAGATCCCTGATGATGCTCGTGCGCTTCATCTTCACGGAATCTTCATTGGCCTGCTCGCCAACTTCTCCTTTGGCAGGTCCCTCCTGCTGAAGTACCCTGAGTTTTTCTCCGCTGGGATGTTCAGGAGAGCCGGGCCGACTGAGGAAGAGGTGAAGAGCGCCTCGTTCAAGATGTGGTTTGTCGGGCACGGCTACAGCAACGTGGATAGCTCGTTGGAGCTCGGAAGAAGCAAGCCGGACAAGGAGGTGATCACCAAGGTTTCGGGACCTGAGGTCGGTTACATCACAACTCCGATCGTGCTGGTGCAGTGCGCCCTCGTCCTGCTGAGCCAGCGTGCCAACCTGCCCAAGGGCGGCGTGTACACGCCGGGTGCCGTCTTCGGCCCTACCGACCTCCGGCAGCGCCTCCAGGAGAACGGGCTGTCATTCGAGGTTAACGCGACTAGGGCCATGCACTGAAGTTCACTGCTCCATTCAGTGCATCCAGTGGAAAAAAATGGGAGAAGGATGCAACCTGAGCAATAATAAGCGCAAAGTAGCGACTTAATTGTGTATGTGGTATAGTCCTATGGAATCTTACTACCACAATACCTTCTAAAGTACTCCGTACCTAGTTTCTTATTCGTATGCTGTGTTTATATGAGGTGACAATAGGAAAACGCTGTGCTAATCCGTGTCATCGTGTCCTGTAGAGAGGGGTTGCAACGTGTAATGCCAGACTCGGCATGCTATGTGCCTATGTGGAAGGAAAGATGCTACCAAGTGCAATACGTGAGGTCCAAATTCTGAACTGGTGTTGCTTTCTATGTTATTGTGGACATTGTTTAGCCTAAACTATCGTTTAGCTCACTTACACATCGTTTAAATGCTACACATGGTACACCGTTTCTGATTTTTCGTTTAATCGGTTGTTTTGACCTTTTAAATGGTCATTTTGCCTGTTTAAACACACGTCTTGCCTGAATAATGGTGCCCGCAAAAAAGTTCTTCGACTTGAGTGAGGGCCACCCCCTACGATCTTCCTCTGATCCAGACGTACAGTGATTGCATTTGAGCGTTCTATCATCTGGCGAGCGTAAGCTTTGGACTCACAAAGTCACGATTTTACCTACTACTAGATCCGTATGTTTTTTAAACTCTTCTGTATCCGTATCTTCGTCATGCTATACAGTGCCAAAGATTCTCAATAAGCAGAAGGTGTTTTGGAAGAAGCGTTTCCAAATGAGGTCTTAGCTTGTTTTTTTTACTAGGATAGGAAGGTCAAATTCTTCATGGCAGGCTAAACTTTGGCCATCAAACCAAATAGAAACCAAAATATCAGTCATGAGCACATGACCAGTATTTGGTTTGGCACTGTAAAACCAGAACCAAGTGTTTGGCGTCTGGTGATGGCATGCCAAGCCGCCTACTTTGCAGTTTCGACGCAACTAGCGCCCGGACGTTCGGCGCGAGCACGTGCCCGGACGACCCTCGGGGCCATCCGATTGAGATAATAGGAGTCGTCTAAATCCCATCGAATAAAGCAACGGAAATAAAAGCAGACCTATCCGATGCAATAGAACGGCGAAGCGTGCCCTGCTTGAAAACGCAGCCCCAGCGCGTGCGCCGTCGTGCCTCATCGCGTCGCCATCCCCCGTCGTGCCGCCATCCCATGCGCGCCCGTTGCCCTCCATGCCCATCCCCACCGTGCTCCATCACCCGAATGTCTAATGAGAAATTTTTCATCGGGAGATCTGTTGCAACACGGAGCATGCAACATAAAAAAAAGTCTACTACAACATCAGAACAAGTCTACTGCAACAACAGAACAAAGCTACTGCAATGCGAGATGCAAGATCTGAAAAAAAATACTAATACAACAAAGAAATATTACTTGTTGCAACATCAGAACAAAGCTACTGCAGCAATAGAACAAAGCGCAATGCGAGAAGCAACATCAGAACAAAAAAAATGATGCAACAAAGAAATATTATTTGTTGCAACATCAGAACAAGGCTACTGCAACAACAGAACACAAAGCGCATAATGCGAGAAGCAACATCGAGAAAAATAGACTAATGCAATAAAGAAAAATTACTTGTTGCAACATCGTAACCGAGCTATTGCAATGCGAGATGCAACATCATAAACAAAAAAAAGAGACTAATGCAACAAAAGAAATATTACTTGTTGCAACAACAAAACAAAGGCTAGTGCAATGAGCTCGCGGAACCTTAGCCACCACCGCACCCCTTAGATCGAGGAGGCTCGGATCCGGAGGAGGAGGAGAGGGAGCGCTCAGATCCAGATGATGAGGAAGGAGGGCTTAGATACAAAGAATGACCGACCTATCTCGTCGGAGCCACCGCGGTCGTCCTTGTCTCCGATGGGGGAGGGAGCGAGGAAGGAGTGCAAAGCGGCGGGATGACTACGAGTGTGGGGCGTGGCGTCCATCCTAGGGGCGCAAGCAGTGCCCGGGCCTTGCACGCAGCCGGAGCGGCAATGAGTGGTATCTTGGGGAACAGTGGGTCATGGGATGGCGGAGAAGCAACGAGTGGGCGCGGGGAGCGGGGATGGATCACGGGATGGGATAACGATCTTGATGGGACAAGGAGCAGGGTCAGCGGGGCGCGTCCGGACGGAAGTTCGCTGCAGACGCCCAGTTCAGATCAATTTCGTTGCAGTTTTGCATGCCGGGTTTTAGGTACTCGAAAATAGACCTGTGTACTGCCTGTATTGGTATGGTCTCTTTGCCAACTCTCAAACAAGTTGTGTCCGTACAATATTTGTTTCTCACAGCAAATCAGTATCAGCCGGTTTATCGGTGACACAAAAACCATCAGCCTTCTTATTTTCTTCTTCTTTTTTAACTTTTCTTTAGTTCTTTGACCAGCCTTTGGGTCAATTGGTCAAACGATGGTTTCGGTGCCTCTCATACTGGAACGAGATCATACTGGGGTACTGTCTCCTTTCCAAACAGTTTTGAATCTGGTCAAGCGCGGAACGGAGGAGTATTGCAAAAAATTGTTTTCATTAAAGTTTTAGCTCCGAAATAAGTGTATGTTTCACCAATGTTTTATCTATAAATAAGTGTTTGTAAAGGGTTAATTTTTTTGGGGGTTGGGGGTGGGGGGAAGAGGCAGACGACCGTGGACAACGGTGGAGTGCATTTAACTCGTCCTTCTGACAGATTCTCTCGTAAACGTTTTGGATGCAATTTCTTTTTAGGGGATGTTTGTTCTATAGTCGCTTCTAAATTTCATGTCACATCGAATGTTTAGATACTAATAAGGAACATTAAATATATATTAATTATAAAACCAATTATATAGATGGAGGTTAATTTGCGAGACTATTTTTAAGCCTAATTAACCTGTCATTAGCACATGTTTACTGTAGCATCACGTTGTCAAATCATGAACTAATTAGGTTTAAAAGATTCGTCTCGCAAATTAGTCGCAAGTTGTGCAATTAATTTCGTAATTAGTATATATTTAATACTCCATGCATGTGTCTAAACATTCGATGTGACAGAAATTTTAGAAGCGCATGTAGAAACCAAACAAGGCCTTAGAAACGTTTATTCTGGTGAATCAGAACTGATTTCTCAAATCGTTTGGCAGTTTTTCAGATTCTGATTTTTGAAGGTTGGCGAAAACCATTTGTTTACATGAAAAAATCATAAAAATATATAGGTTTTTGGAAAAAAAATTGTTAATTATTTTTAAGGTGAAGATAAATCAAAAGCAACCAATTTTAATTGGTTTCATTTGAGGAGGATCACTACAGATATTTTTAGATTAGATGGGAGGTAGAAATGCAAGAAACAAAATATGAAGAAACTACTCTGGAGGTAATTTTGATCTCTATATAATCATAAAAAAAACGTTTCTACTCCCTAAAGTTAGTATCTTGTTTGACCGTTTGAAAGAGTTTCTTCTGATTCCAGAGAGAATGGGTGTGTTTGGTTTTCTGACCAACTTCTAACCTGGCTAGAATCCTCGTCCTGTTCGTTTGGGCTTGTTTGGTTTATAAGCCATAGCTGAAAGTACTGTTGACTGATTTGATGTGAGAGAAAAATATTGTTCGTTAGCTGATAAGCCATGGCTTATAAACCAAATACGACCAAACGAACAGGCTGCTAGCCTGAACCGCCTTAATCTGCTCCCACCAAGTCTGTTTGGTTGTACTATAGTAGCTTGGGTAGACTCGTTGTGCGGTTTGTTTTGATACATAGCCAGAGCGGCATCATCGTCGTGGGTCCGAGCTTCTCACGGACTGCAACTACGCCGTCATGGGTGAAACGGAGTTGATTGACAAGGCCGGCCCCAAGGGCTACAAGCTCGACAAGCACAAACTCGAGCTGGAGCTCGAAGATGAGGCGGCGGCCGCCGCCGGCGACTCGTCTGCCGTCGTCACGGTTGGCAGGGTCTGCACGGCAGTGGCGGCGCACATGAAGACGCACCCGAGAACTCGGTCAAAGTGAATTGGATGAACACACACAAAGAAAGAGCTAAATATAGAAAGACTCAAGCTTGCCTTCGCATGAACCAAGCGCACGCGTCAAGCTTAGAACACTGAAACGAGCTAACTGAAGAAACTGAATTAGCTAATCTAGACTGACGAAACTGAATGAAAAAAACAGACCCTGAAGTAGCAGGACGGTGAACAGCCAGAGTAGATCAACAAGTAGCAGGGCGAGCACGGCAGCACCAGGGCAAAATCTGTAGACGAAGCTGCCGAATCGTTCGCCCAGGAGCACGGCAGCCAGAGTTAATGCATGTGCTAACACTAGGGCTTCATTTTAAAGATATACAAGAAAACAACCAAACGACGATATATTTTTTCATAGTTTAAGTTTAACGCAATTGTATATGATAAAGAATATAATACGAAAAACACTTATGCATAACAAGGCATAATAAAGTTGTCTCACCTTAACCATCTAATTTAGAATCTGCTTAAGACCTTCTCGGCCTCGCCTCCCGAAACGAAAGGCGTCGCATGCCCTGCAGACTCCCGAGCGCCACCGCTCTCGGTCCATCGGCGGTGCAGGTAGCCGTGCCATGCCACGACGCCCACCTCGCGCCATGCCGAGGTCGTCGCCGATCCACGCCAACTCTGATGACCCGAAGCCATGCGTCGTCCCGGGCCGTCCTGGCCGAGCTCGTCCTCGTCTCGCCGCTATAGATGTGCATGCAGCCCGAGCCCGTCAGCCCAGCACGAACCCCTTTTTTTGGCCCGGCCCGATGGCTAGCGGGCTCAGTGGCACGCAACCGCGAGGGAGGCGGGCGTGCACAGGCCTTACCCAGCACGTGGGCTTCAAGGCACGGCCCGTAAAATGGCCAAAGGCCCAACAACACTCAAAGAGGCCGCCCTCCTCTCTTAACCCTACCGCCTACCCTCTCCCTCCCCCGTCGCCGCACTCTGCTCTCTCTCGCCTAGTCGCTCGCCTCGCCTCCTCCCAGCTCTCCTCTCGC